CCCCCCCCCCCCCCCCCCCCCCCCCGGGCCTAAACAAGAGTCATATATGTTCTAATTCCTCTCCTACTAAGCATCAAAACTTGCCAAAAGGACGTCATCAGGCTTAATACTTAAAAAACTGATATAGGAGACAGGAGACAGGAACCCAGCTGTACGAGCACAGGCGGCCCAAACTCACGTTACGAATTAAGGGTGCAATATAATTTACATACCATAGGTGACGCGCCGGTGTCGCGTTACAGGCGACCGTTGAAAATATAAGACACTTTGTATGAGAAATATATTACTGAGATCTGCGAACGCTAGATAACGCTAAACCTTATTTTTTCTTAAATGAACTGAATAAAAAAAAGACTTACCTGCAATGTATTCCAATGCATTTTGGTGTTTGATTGTCGTTTACTGGTTTTTTTGGCTTTATTGCGTAACCACTGTTACTACTTTCATAGAACAGTTCGTCTCTAATTGCATAAAGGAAGTAACACGATTGCTGAGTATCAAGCAGATCACAACCACTCCTTACCATCCTATGTGTAATGGCTTAACTGAGAAGTTCAACGGAACAATGAAGCTTATGTTGAAGAGATTGTGTAGTGAACAACCAAGACAGTGGCATCGCTTTATCAGCCCTTTGTTGTTTGCTTATCATGAGGTTCCCCAAGAGTCTACTGGTTTTTCACCGTTTGAGCTGTTGTATGGAAGAGCCGTTAGAAGTCCGATGACCATTCTTAAGGAGCTTTGGACGAAAGAAGTAGAGGAACCGGAAGTTAAAAACAGCTTGGAGGAAACCCTTAAATTAGCCCACACTCAGTTACAGAAGGCTCAAGATAAAGGAAAGCACTATTATGATCGAAAGACTAGAGTCAGAAAATTTCAGCCTGGTGAGAAAGCTCTTGTGCTACTACCAGCTGATCACAATAAGTTGCTGATGCAGTGGAAGGGTCCTTTTGAAGTGAGTTCAGTACTAGTAGTAGGCCTTAACGACTACAGAGTTAAAGTGAAAGGAAAGGAGAAGGTTTACCACGCGAATCTCCTCAAGAAGTATTTTGAAAGAGATGAAGCTAAAACAGAAGGAGCAGTAGCTGTGGTAAAAGCAGATGATCATTTTAAGGAAGATATGCACTGTGAAATTGAAGAATGTGAAGTAAAGGATGCGGAGGATGATGATAATGTTGATTTCCTAGAGATCGGTGGCTATGATGCTAAGGAATCT